CGGCGGCGGCGGCGGCGGCGGCGGCGGCGGCGGCGGTGGCGCAGGCCTTTAATACCAGCACTTGGGAGGCAAAGGCAAATGGATCTCTGAGTTCTAGGCCAGCCTGGGCTACAGGGCGAGTTCCAGGACAGCTAGAGATACACAGAGAAACCCTGTCTCAAGGGAAAAAAAAACAAATATACACATAACTATATTTCAAATTTGTGGAGGTATCATAGTATCTTGTTTTGTGCATGTGCATGTGCTATTTTTGCAAGTGTGTACATGTGTGAGTTCACTGGGGTGTTCTTGACCATGCTGGTGCATGTGGAGCCTAGAGGTTGATGTCAAGGCATCTTCCGAAATCACTTCTCCCCTTTGCTTTTTGAGTCAGGGTTTCTCACTGAACCTGGAATTCAACATTTCTGCTAGACTCCAGAATCTACCTGTCTCCATCTCCAACTCAATGTTAAACACTACTGCCCTCAAATTTCTACATGGATCCTAGGGGTTGGAACTAAGGTCGTCATGCTTATACAGCAAGCATTTTGTCCACTGAGCTACCTCTTCATGCTGGAATGTCAAGATTTTTATTGTGATAAAACTGTAGCCAGGCGGTGGTAGCACACCCCCATTAATCCCAGCACTTGGAAGGCAGAGCCAGGCGGATCTCTGTGAGTTTGAGGCCAGCCTGGGCTACAGAGCAAGATTCAGGACAGGCAAAAGCTACACAGAGATACTCTGTCTTGGGAAAAAAAAAAAAAAAAAAGCAAAAACACAACTGTGTGGTGGTATTATGTTCCCCGAAATATTGTGCACACCAATAAACTTACCTGGGGTCAGAGAACAGAACAGCCACAATATTAAACATAGAGGTTAGGCAGTGGTAGCACACGCCTTTAATCCTAGCATTCCAGAGGCAGAGATCTACCTGGATCTCTGTGTGTTCAAGGATACAGCCAAGCATGGTGACTCACGCCTTTAATCCCAGAAAGTGAGCCTTTAATCCTAGGAACTGATGGCAGAAAGCAGAAAGGTATTTAATGTGTGAGGATAAGGAACTAGCCTGGTTAAGCTTTTAGGCTTTTGAGCAGCAGTTCAGCTGAGATCCGTTTGGATGAGAACTAAGAGGCATCCAGTCTGAGGAAACGGGATCAGCTGAGGAACTGGCAAAGTGAGGTGGCTGTGGCTTGTTCTGCTTCTCTGATCTTTCAGCATTCACCCCAATACTCAGCTCCAGGTTCCTTTTTATTAATAAGAACTCTTCAGATTCTTGCTACATAACTATAGAATTTACCACCTTAAAAATAAGTAAGTGGGGGACTGGAGAAATGGCTCAGCAGTTAACAGCACTGGCTGCTCTTCCAGGGGACCCAAGTTCAATGTCCAGCATCCACATGGCAGCTCACAGCTGTCTATAACTCCAAGATCTGGCACCCTCACACAGACATACATGCAGGCAAAACACCAATGCACATAAAATAAAATTTTTTTAAATTATTAAAAACGGGGTTGGGGATTCAGCTCAGTGGTAGAGCACTTGCCTAGCAAGCACAAGGCCCTGGCTTCGGTCCTCAGCTCTGAAAAAAAAAATTGTTAAAAACATTTGTGTGTCGTTCTTGTTCTTCTTAGACCCCCTTTTGTAGCTCTTCTTCCGGCATTCTGTGGGTTTTGACAGTTTACCAAAGGGAGGCACACAACTTTGGGATTCTGCAAACACTAAATCTGCTTTAACCTTTTGCTCTATTATCAGGATGACAAAGGTATTTTATTTCCTCTGCCGACCCCCCCCCCCGTGGGGGGCGCTCATTTAGCCCAGGCTAGCTTCAGGTTTGATAAACAGGCAATGATGGCCTTGGATTCCTGATCCTCTTTTCTTCTGAGTGGCAGGAGTGTGGAGATAACAAGTGTACCCCACCATGGCCAGTTTATGTGGTGTTGGGTGTCAAAACCAGGGCTTCATGAATGCCGGGCAAGCACTCTGCCAACTGAGCTACATCTGAAATCGCATTAATTCATATGGATCCTCTTGCCTTCCCCCTGCCCGCCCTCCCTCTGTAACCCTGGCTGACCTGGAAATCACTTTCTAGATCACATGTGTATGGAGAATTTACAGCAGCCCTCATGCTTCTGACCCCCAAGAGCTAGGATTACAGCTGTGTGCCATCATACCCAGCTCTTCGCTAATTCTCATCCAAAGTTGACAAAAGGTATCAACTCTCTGCAAGGATTTTCTATGAAACTGTTTTGGAGGAGTGTTGTTAAGACCATCCCAATCACTATGCAGGCCAGATTCTTTAGCCATTGTTCTAGAAAATAACCTGATCCAGAAGAGAAAGAAGGAACCAAGCATGGCAGCACACACACACCTGTAAGTCCAACTCACTGGGAAGCTGGGGCAGAAGGATTGCAGGAGTTCAAAGTCAGTCTAGGCTAGCTACGTAAGAGACCCTACCTCAGACCAGATGTAAAAGACACATTCAACACTGTTGAAAACGGAGGACTGTGTGAAGAGTTTGTGTTGTTTCTTCAGAAGGATCCTCATCATGAGCTGTATGTTCATTCTACTTTGCATGCCCAGTCCTCCTGTATGCCACCATGTCAGGCTACAATATAAAACTACAAAATGCCAAGAAAAGGCAATGAACACTGTAAGGGCCTCCAAAACCATTTACTGAAACTGCCTTGAAATAATTTTGTTACCTACCTTGAGTATTCAAAAGGCTAGCTGGGGACATGGCTTGGTGGTGGAGCATTTACTTAGCATGTACAAGACTCTAGAGGCAATGCTTAGGACAAAAATCCAAATCTGTTCACCATCTAGGCACATTGGCACATGCCTATATGCCTAACTACTTAAGAGCTGAGGCAGGAGGATCAATTGAGCCCAATAATTCTTTCTTTCTTTTTTTTCTTTTCTTTCTTCCTTTCTTTCTTTTTCTTTCTTTCTTTCTTTCTTTCTTTCTTTCTTTCTTCCTCTCTCTCTCTCTTTCTTTCTTTCTTTCCTTTCTTTCTTTCTCTTCCTTCCTTCCTGTCTGTCTTTCCTTCTTTTTCTCTCTCTTCCTTCTTTTCTCCCTCCCTTTCTTTTCTCATTAAATATGTCCTAATTAGTTTCCCCTGCCTCTACTCCTCCCAGTTCCCTTCCATCCAGATCCACTTCCTTTCTCTCATTAGAAAAGAAAAGGCTTCTAAGAGATAACAACAAAACATAACAAATGAAAATATAGTAAGAGAGCTGGGCAGTAGTGGTACACGCCTTTAATCCCAGCACTCAGGAGGCAGAGACAGGCAGATCTCTGTGAGTTCGAGGCCAGCAAATAAGGAAAAAAAAAAAGAGTACATGCCATGTGACTTCATCATCTTAAGATGACCACATGACATAAAGCAACAATTATAAAACTTCTTGGTCCAAATGAGTTCTCTGTTTATCATTGTATCTCTTTAAACTAAGGAAGCAACAAGTCTCAAATATTTTGGATTGGTATGGATTTTTTGTTTGATGATAAAAATTTAAGGTTATATTTGCTACAACATACTATATAAGTGATTCAACCCTGGTTTAGAATATATTGTATATGATGATAAACTTTTGAGGTTATAAAGGTCTATTCAGATTAACAAAAGTTGATTTAAGATGTATGTCTAACTACTTATGTCTTTGCTAACTGTTTAACACCAAGTTGCTAAAAAAATTAGATAAGTAACATATGTTTGATAAGGCATATTTGTAGGTGGAGTTTCTCTGTTTCTCAGCAGCTGCTCCCAAATAACCACTCAGAGACTTATTATTAATTATAAATGCTCAGCTGATAGCTCAGGCTGGTTACTAGCTAACTCTTATATTTTAAATTAACCTATATTATCTACCCATGTGACTGTACCTTCTCTCAACACAGCACATTCATTTGCTTTTCTCTGCGTCTCTCAGGACTCTTCAGACTCTGCCCTTCTCCTTCCCAGCATTCTCTCTGCCCTGAAAATCCTGCCTAGCTATCGGCCAATCAGCTCTTTATTAACAATGAGAGCAACACATTTTCACAGTGTGCAGAAGGGTTATTCCACAGCATATATTTGATAAGCATAATTTATAAATTCCTAAGGTCTACTCAAGTTCACAGTAATAATATTTATTTAGCTTCATCATTACTCACTTTAAGCTTTAGCTATTTGTATAGAGTAAGCTATACAAAAAAACTGCAACATTCTATAATGGTGTGTCTGGGCCCCCAAGAAAGTCCTTTTCCCAATGTCAGGCATTTAGGCAAAAGCCCCCATTCCTTCAGGGGCTTGAAGAAAGTCTCTGCTTGCTAAAAAGGGAGTCATTCTCATCTGTGGCAAGAGGAACTGTGGCCCTTCATTAACATATGACTGTGGTGCTTACTGACTTATCTCTAGGCTCCCTCAGTCACTTCTCACAAGTCCCCTTTCTCTCCTTCCCATTTAACCCTGAAAATCTTTCCAGTCGCTACTTGCTTTCCTAGGAGACAGCCTTGGCAGTTTGGAATAAACTTTTTCCCTTTTAACCCATGTAGCTATTTTGTTTCTTTACTAAGCCCATTTTCATTCATGGTGCACTATAAAAAGATCAGT